AATTCTCGTCCCCAGTTTCCCGGGACACTTATAGGGAAATTGGCTGTATTTCGGCCGCCAAAAAAACTCATCCAAATTATTTATTTATTTATTTATTTATTTATTTATTTATTATGATTATGTTTTTTTTTTTGCATTTTCAAAACATTATTCGTTTATTACATATATCAAGAAAGGAAAATACTTTTAAAAAAAAATTTTGGTCTCATATACACTTAAACCATCCTTGTTCCTGTATGGTTTATTATTATCTCTTTGGTGTTTTTCTATCTTAGTAAACTGTTAATTTCAGGTTTCCTACCATTTAAAGGTCATTTTGTATGTGGCCAAAATAACTCAAAATACCGTGACTGAGATCCTTTAAGGGACACGAAAAGTATTTGAGGATGGCGTGCGTACAAGGCAGCCGATAGTAAATAACTGCATATCCGAGAAAAAACTGATTTGAGTTTCAGATAGCCCTAGTATAATCGTCGTAACCACCACGGGAATAAGTAGCCAGAGCAAGGAAGGGTAGAGTTCAGCAGAATACAGCGTTANCTTTTTTTCGTTCAAGATACGCACCACTTTTATGTTGAAATTGTCCCAGAGATCGCGCGGCCAAAATGTCACATGATTTACGTCTGTGACGTCACTGTGTTTGATAAACAAACCCATATGACTGAAAGCGAAGAGAAACGTTTGAAGATGAGACAGGTCGAAAATTAGCGTTACTAGCTAGGAAATCACTGGCACATTTGAAGCTGTGTGCAAGAAAAATGACAAGGCGGCCTCCCGCGACAGCAATGTTATCAAACACTATGACATCACAAACATAATTCTCGTCCCCAGTTTCCCGGGACACTTATAGGGAAATTGGCTGTATTTCGGCCGCAAAAATAATCATCCAAATTATTTATTTATTTATTTATTTATTTATTATTATGATTATGTTTTTTTTTTTTTGCATTTTCAAAACATTATTCGTTTATTACATATATCAAGGAAGGAAAATACTTTTTAAAAAAAAATTTGGTCTCATATACACTCTAATCATCCTTGTTCCTGTATGGTTTATTATTATCTCTTTGGTGTTTTTCTATCTTAGTAAACTATTATTTTCAGCTGTCCTACCATTTAAAGGTCATTTTGTATGTGGCCAAAATAACTCAAAATACTGTGACTGAGATCCTTTAAGGGACACGAAAAGTATTTGAGGATGGCGTGCGTACAAGGTAGTCGATGGTAAATAACTGCATATCCGAGAAAAAAACTGATTTGAGTTTCAGATAGCCCTAGTATTATCGTCGTAACCACCACGGGAATAAGTAGCCAGAGCAAGGAAGGGTAGAGTTCAGCAGAATACAGCGTTAAGAAAAGGACAGCTTGCATGTAATTTACGGAGGCTATTTTCTCACGCAACACGATAAATCTATACGTGTCAAATGACTTTTCCAAAATTGTAGGATATCCAGGAATAATCCTCAAGTGATTTCTCCCAGTTTTCAAAAGTTTCCTTTTACGATGGCACGTTCAGTGATTGTTAAATTGTGAAATTTTCGTCGGGCTGCCTGTTGTACAAGTTTCCCTTCTAGTGGTATTTGCATACTCTGCTTGACTTGGAAAACACAGTCAATATATCAAAGAATTTTATTTTCAACAGGACCTTCCTACGACTGTTGAAGAACTCGACGGTTTTCGCGAAGCTCAGCGTCTGCTCCAGAACCAACTTCTAGAGAAGCACGCCATGTTGTTAAAGGCTGTTACCAAACAGAAGGAACAACTGAAGGAAATCCAACAACACATGATTCTTAACCTTCAGTCGCAGCTGTTTGTAGATCCAGTTAAGCTTCAAGAGAAATGCGCTGGTTACTTTGAGAGGAACAAAGACTTGTCCGAGAGGCATGAAGAACAGGAACTTGCCCTGGAGTCCATCAGTCGTAAACTTGAAGCGCAGATCCAGACCGCCGAGCGCCGTTACCAGCGCCATTTTAAGGTGCTAATGGACAAGAGAACAGAGGAGCAGAAGGCGGGCGAAGCAAGTTCTGCCCAATCGGCGGACGATTTCATGGACACAGCGCCAGTAGAACAACACCAGGCACAGATTGAGAGCGATGAGATGGTTGTAGAAGACATTGACTCCTTAACGCAAAACCAACCAGGTGAACTGCAGGTACAGCAATCTTCATCCGCGCTTGAGTTGATAACAGTAGACGCTCAGGTGGATCTACAACAACACGCTCACATCGACGAGGTACAAAGTAGCGCATCCATGTTAAAGCGAAGCGCGGCCAGTCCCTCAAATCAGGAAAATCAAAAGATTAGACGAGTAGAGACGAACTCTAAACAAATGTGGCAGGAGCCATTCTCGACTAGCACACAACTAGATCAACATCAACAAAGGCAACAACAACAACAACAACAACAAGCTGCTATCGCAGCAGCGACACCACGATCATGGCAACCTAGTACTGCCGCTCAAACGGTGCCAAATCAAGAGTTTGTACAAGCATTCCCTGGGATAAACGATCGTCGCTCGGTTACTGCTACCACAAGCGTTACGTCCGCCCCTCTACTAGCCCCTCGGGAGGTCGGTATGCAACAGAACCAGTCCGCGCGCGGACAAGAAAGTGTTCCGTCCCTATCCACCGCCTACTCCCTTGGAGCTACCGATCTGCCCCAGGCTCTTCTACAGTCCTTTTCTGCTGCGCCACAAGTGAATGCTCTGATGTTTGGAGGAAACATGCCAACTGCTGGAGCTTTCCAAGGGTCCACCGGGCAAAACGGTCTGGGATTTGCTGCACCTCAAGTCGGGGCAGCGACTTCTAACGCTTTTCAACAGCAACAACAACTGCTGCAGGGCTCAGAAATGAACCCATCTGTTGGGCAATTTGTTGAACAGTTCTTGACAAACACTTCGCAGAACCAACAAATCATGCAGGTGTTATTGACTGTTCTCTCCGCGCTTCAGAGTCAGCCGCAAGTGGCGGCGTCATTAATAACACTGTTGAAACAGATCCAAGGAAATCAACAACAACAACAACAACAACAACAACAACAGCAACAACAACAACCGCAGGGTGAACCTCTCCTACCTACCCAGCCCACTGCAGCACATTTCACTGTCGGCTCGAGCACTCAGGGTCAAACTACAGCACAGCTTCGCACTACTGCACCACCTCCATACTCTTACGCCAACGAGGCAGTTTACCAGCAACAGCGGCAACAGCGGCAACAGCAGCAACAGCAGCAACAGCAGCAACAGCAGCAACAGCAGCAACAGCAGCA